GTAGAATGTTGCTCCTATTTTGATTTTGGAATTCACTCTTCAGTTGTCAAAATGCCGTCCAAGCAAGAAGAGCAGCGTATCAAAATTTTGCTCGCGCATCGCGAAAATCCGAGCTACTCGCACGCAAAGTTGGCAAAATCGCTAAAAGTTGCCAAATCAACCGTTACAAATGTAATTAAAGTGTTTGGGGAACGTTTGTCGACAGCCAGGAAGTCTGGATCGGGGGGAAATCGAAAACCAGAAGCCGCTGAGACGACAAAGAGAGTTGCCGGTAGTTTCAAGCGAAACCCTAACCTCTCTCTCCGAGATGCCGCAAATAAGCTGGGTGTATCGTCTACAACCGTGCATCGAGCCAAAAAACGAGCCGGACTATCGACTTACAAGAAGGTAGTGACTCCAAATAGCGATGATAAACAAAATACGACGGCCAAAGCGCGATCCCGGAGGCTGTACACGACGATGCTGACGAAGTTTGACTGCATGGTAATGGACGACGAAACCTACGTCAAAGCCGACTACAAGCAGCTTCCGGGACAGGAGTTTTATACGGCAAAAGGAAGGGGAAAGGTAGCAGATGTTTTCAAGCACATGAAACTGTCAAAGTTCGCAAAGAAATATCTGGTTATGCAAGCCATCTGTACCTGTGGCTTGAAAAGCAGCATTTTCATAGCTTCCGGGACTGTCAACCAAGAAATTTACGTGAAAGAGTGTTTGAATAAACGTCTGCTGCCTTTCCTGAAGAAACACGGTTGTTCCGTACTGTTTTGGCCGGATTTGGCATCTTGCCATTACGGTAAAAAGGCCATGGAGTGGTACGCCGCCAACAACGTGCAGGTGGTTCCCAAGGACAAGAACCCTCCCAACACGCCAGAGCTCCGCCCAATTGAGAAATACTGGGCTATTGTCAAGCGGAACCTAAAGAAGACCAAAAAAACTGCTAAGGGCGAGCAGCAGTTCAAGGCAAACTGGCTTTCTGCGGCGAAGAAGGTGGACAAGGTGGCTGTACAAAATCTGATGGCAGGGGTCAAGCGTAAGGCCCGGCAATTCGGATTTGGAAAAGCGGAAGCCTAACTGAATATTTTTCCTGAATTTTATACTAATTGAACTTGAAAAAGAAATTTAATTTGATTTTTTAAATAAACGATTTCACCGATTTACACGCGTTTTCCCTTGACCAAATTTTGACCGTATCACCCTTTAGTTAACATTTTTACTCCTGGTGTAAGAAGAATTTGCTAGCCCTTAACGTTAGAAAATGTAATTCTTTATCGTTTACAAGAAAGCATGCCACAGTAAATGACACAATTTCCCTTGGTGAGAAAACAGTTGAAAGGTGTAATCAAGTAAGGGACTTAGGCATTATTCTCGAACCTAAGTTGCGATTTGGTTTAACAAAAGATTTAGTCTGCACTTAAATGGTCCTTACACTATTAAAAAAAAAGTAGAAGGGTCTGTGCCTAGGGGCACGAACGGAAGCTTGACGTAGGACCGCTAGTGGACGGAACAAATGTGAACATTTAGTTCTTTTAATTGATCAATCATCAATTATCTTAACTGTTTCCGTTTTTTATTTGTAAGCGTATCAAATTTGTAGTATTTATTTCAAAGAGAAAGTTTATGAAGAGAATCCAAGGGACTATCAACTTGAGTATTTTCGATTCATCTACCCGTCTTTAAAATGTGCATTTTGATTTTTTTTTTGTTATTGATGATTTTTTAAGTTTTGTGCATTTTGGTATGTGCATTCAATTCACCCCTCACAGGATTTCCTTCAGAATTATATGAATGGGGCGGGGCTGAAAGTATCGTTTGTGCAGAATATGTAAAAAAGGAGGGACTTCGAGAGATTGAGCTCGTGAGAGCTAATTTTTTTCACATATTTGATTTATTGGCTTTCTGGGAACAGAATATACACCCAAAGCGAATTATTTCCGCTTCTCTCAAATTCTATATGGATTTTTAACACTTCCTACCAGCGTGTTCTGAGAAATGGTCGGACGATGATTAATCTCACCAATACATTCGGGCCTAAAATACCACACCTTCGATAGAGACCAGGTTGAGCCTTGATAGCTAGCTGCTTGCGGGAACTGATGACCTTTACCAATGTCCAAATAATACTCTTTAACAAATTTATGGTGGCCCTGAAAAGGACCGTTTTGTAGTGATGGTTGAGTAGTTCTGAGCTGGGTGTTCAACACGGGTAAGGCTGTCGAGCTGTACGTCGTTTGGAGCGAGGGTGACACGCTTGGCATAGATGACCGACCTGCAGCGACTCACGAAGAGCTACTGATTCCGATCCATAGCATAGCGGTGCAGCTTTTTCCTCCTTTGATGGTTGCGTATGTGGGCTCTGCAGCTCGCTGCTTGCAGGCAGCCTTTCGTTGTTACTGGAGAACAATTCTAGATAGAGCTGGAATTAGGTCCTAACAGCTTTTGTAAACACTGACTTCTATCGATGATTTCTAGAAATTCAAGACTCGCCCACGCAAATCAACTTCCCCTATCCGATGGTTATGTTGGTCTGCGTGAGCGTGCCTTGAGTTCCTAGAAATCATCGATAGAAGTCATTGTTTACAAAAGCTGTTACGCCCTAATTCCAGCTCTATCTAGAATTTTCAACGCCACACGCCGAAAGCACTGCTACTGCTGCTACTAATTTCGACGATCGAACACCACCACACAGTGGTGTGGTCGTTGGGAGCGTGTGGTTCTGAGTATGGCGATGAGTGTGCAAAATATTACGCAATTCCATCCTCCCTATTCGCACGCGCCCGAGGATCGGAGGCGAATGCCACTTCGACTTGTTTCGTCTACTTACTACTCTCTGACGACTGTGCTGGGGAAGCAGCATATGCATGTAGGTAATTGGTGGATTTGTTAGTTAATTCGACGCTTTTGGACAATGCTGTACATTTACCAGTTTTTCAATAGTTTCTTGTTGAAAATCATCATTCGGAAGAATTTTTATCGATGCGTAGCCATATTTCTGATCGATTGGTGATAAAATTATTGAAATTGGACCAGGGGCTGCTGAGTTATTAACGTTCAAAATCTTTCTTAATTTGTTACATGTTCCATTTTCGGTTTTCACAAAGTGTACCCCCATATAGAAATCAAAGACGTAGTCCTACGTCAAAATGTGTGTATTAAAACAGATGTGCAGCGAGCATTTCTCGCTAATTTTTACAACGCAAAAACAAATACAGTTTATCACTAGAATTAAAATCTACTTTTTTTAAGTATCTATAACAAGCTTAAACTCTATTACCGCAACAAAAAGAACTATGTTTCGTCAACTGTGTGCAAAGCTATTTGTAAATAAGCAGTTCGTGACCAAAACTATGTTTTCCAAGCATGGCTTTCATAGAAAATTCAGTGTTTATCAATTATTCCGGACAGCCTTCAAACTAGTTTAGAGAAAATCTACTTCTTTTCTGTGGTAACTCATGCTCGAATGAAGGGGCCTTCTGATTCAATTTGAATGTAGTTCCAGATTTTCAAAGTTTTGTGAGCAGAGCTTTAATGTTTGATTGATGCGCCCACTGCATACCAAGTTCTGTTGGGCGTTCTTTCGATCTAGATTTAACTTCGATCGCGTATTCTAGAACTAGTCGTGAAAGTACTCTTGAAATACCAATTGAAAGTAAAGAGGCCGAATCCAGAAAGAGACGACACGTCAAAATTGGAACAATCGGTTGAAGCAAACGGATAAGATGTCGCCTCTTTACCCAATCCAGCCTCTTTAATTAAATCCATTCCACTGATACCAACTGAGCACAACCTTCCGGACTTATTGATCCAGAGTCCTTTGGACATTCTCTCTTGGCTCGCTTTCTTCCGGGCCTGCCTTTTATATTTCCTTTGACAAATATTAGGCATCATTTAGTATTGCTCATGAATAAAATGATGAGTAATGTAAAAAATGTGTCTGTCTCAAACCCGAAAAGCGGATGTCGTTACTTGGTGCCTGTATTCGATGAAAGCAACACCATAAAACGGCTGAACCGCCATGCGATACAAACTGTTGCACTGTGATTCGAGCCATTCCACGCTCAACATTCATTCGACCACCTAATGGCGATGATTTTGTTCATCAAAAACGAGTTCCTTCCAGGACATGCGCAAATTTTTATGCTGTGGAAAGTTCCTCTCCAGATTCTCACTCGAAGTTCAGTTGTGCTCAGTCCACTCCGTGCTTTCCACCGGACAGGATCCCGCTCGAACAAAGCGCTATGCTGCCATGTAGCCATCCAGAACATGGTTACATCAAAGACCTTCCTTGCCTTTGTTTTGGTTTGTGTTCAATTGCGCTGCTGTTGGTAAACCTCCATGAATCAGAGAATGCTTCCGTCCTATTTTTAGCCACATTACACTCCTCCGTGATGGACGAACGAATCCTTCCACACCGTTGTCGTCGTCGGCGGTCGCCGGGGCGCTCAAACCGACCGGAAGTAATGGGTTTCCTTTATGTTCTGCTTCACCTGGCTGGTCGGATGGATGCATGGGGAGCAAGGGTAGTGGATTTGAATGTAATTTTGTGTGTTTTACCTGTTGTTGCTCTTGTTGGCCCCACCGCGTTGGATTTTATGGCTTACTTCGTATGAACGACAGATTTTGAATGGGGAAAGGCAAAGTCTCGTTTGAACCAAAACAACGACCAGTTAATGTGAGTCTGTGTACGAGCATGAGAAAAGAGAGTGTACGGGATTACGGCAAAATGGGTCACATGGGAGTAATTCGGGTGATCTGAGTGCATTCATGAATCCTGTGTTGGATCGGGGGGAATGCGAAATTGATGGAGCTTAATGGATTTGTGTGGGAATTTTTGGTTGAAGCTTCAGGAAAAAGAAAAATGACCGGAGCCGATTCAGGAACCTTCTTCTTATCACTGCTTGCAGTGAAAGAAACAAGTTTATCGCGATTCTACGATCTATTTCGGTTATCTTACGTAACGAACATGCTTAATTTAGAACAAAATAGCATCTACCAAGTACCTCTTATCACCTAAAATAACTGTGTAACTGATAGCACCACTGCCTCCGCCCCCACAGAGTTCTACGTATACATGCTCACAGCTTGTTCAACCGGTTCTGGAACTTGAGCTCCTTTTTGTCATCATCTCGGAAGCCATCCAGCATCGTCGAGCGATTGAGGTTGACATTGGAGCCCCTGGGGTACTTACTCTGCTCGAAGCCTCGCTTCATGCTCCGTCGGCTACTGTTGTTGCTGGTCGTGTCCTCCGCTTCAAAACTGTGCTGCTGGCGTAGGCGATTTTTCAGCTGCTGTTGCAGCTTCCGGTGGATGGTTTGATCCAGTGGATACGGATGGTGGTTGTTTGCGTGGTGGTTGGTGTTTTTGGGCGATAGATCAATACCAAATTCCTTGGCTATCGTTCGGCTGATCAACCGACTGTTGGAGTAGATGTACACTCCGGAGGCGACGGTCAGAAGGAACAGAGTGATGAAGACTCCTGTGAGCACCATCCAGACTGCATCCGAGCGGGGTTGCAACACAGGGGATGCTGTTGGGACTGATGTCGGATGTTCTTCTGTGGTGTTCTCGGGTATTGGTGGTGGGGTCGCCGTTGTACTCGTAGATAATGTTTTCGACTCTGTAGTCGTCGTAGATGGTTCAGGAGTGGTTGTAGACGGTTCTGGAGTTGTCGTCGTCGTCGTTGTTGTTGTTGTTGTTGTTGTTGTTGTTGATATAGGAGTAGTGGTTTGTGTTCTGGTCGGACGAACAGTAGTTCTTGTGGTGGGTTCCAAAGTCGTAGTTGTCGACAAGGTCGTACTTGTTGTAGGTCTTGTCGTTGTTGTTGTACGTCTGGTCGTAGTTGTGGTAGGCCTTTCTGTTGTTGTTGTTGTTGTTGTACGCCTGGTCGTAGTTGTGGCAGGCGTTTCCGTTGTTGTTGTGGGCCTTGTCGTAGTTCTTGTGGGCCTTTTCGTAGTTGTTGTGGGCCTAGTCGTAGTTGTGGTAGGCCTTTCTGTTGTTGTTGTTGTAGTTGTACGCCTAGTCGTAGTTGTGGTAGGCGTCTCCGTTGTTGTCGTGGGCCTTCTCGTAGTTGTTGTGGGCCTTGTCGTAGTTGTTGTGGGCCTTGTCGTAGTTGTGGTAGGCCTTTCTGTTGTTGTTGTTGTAGTTGTACGCCTAGTCGTAGTTGTGGTAGGCGTTTCCGTTGTTGTCGTGGGCCTTCTCGTAGTTGTTGTGGGCCTTCTCGTAGTTGTTGTGGGCCTTGTCGTAGTTGTGGTAGGCCTTTCCGTTGTTGTTGTTGTTGTTGTCGCCCTAGTTGTGGTCGTTGTTGGCCTTGTTGTTGTGGTAGTTGGCCTGGTAGTCGTAGTTGTAGTAGGCCTCGCCGTAGTTGTCATCGCTGTCGTTGTCGAGGTTGGTATTGCCGGAGAACTGTAGAATTCATCCAACTCCTTGCAAAACTGCTCCTGAACCAGTGAGTTGAAAACCGTCACATATTCAATCGCCACTTCTGCTCCGATGCTCATGTTCACCTCTATCTGCAGCTTGGCCCGGCGAATTTCACGCTCCACCCGCCCAACAAACAAACTCCACGTACTCGTCGGCTGTTGTGAGCTCCAACGCTGCGCCACCACCGGCTGTCCGTTCTGTATTTGATCCATATCGAGTATCCTCAGTGTCAAAGTGGACAACGTCCGAAATACCAGCTGGTATATGAGCCGAATTTCCGTGTACTCGTGCATGTAGAAAGATTCCTCCGTCTCGCAACAGCTCACACCCAGAACGTCATTGCTCAGGTAGTAGAACACATTGTCCCGGTACGGTTTAAAAAATACCGAATCCACATACGATTTTAACCGGAAAATCTCCTTAGTAGATCCCGTACACTCCCGGATCTTCCTTTGCGAGAAGTCGTTGAAATCGATCCGCTCACAGATCGCATCCATTCCCGAAACGCGCACCACTCGAAGCACCGTAATCACCAGAATCAATCCGAAACACTTCCCGATCATTCTAAAGCCTGCCGAACTGATGAAACTTTTCAACGCTACTGATTTTGCACCCAAAATATTTTCCAAAACACAGCCAATCGAACGGCTCATATCTCGTCTCTTTAACTTGCCTCATGTCGCAGAGATCATATCGGGTTGATATCAAATGCGTACGCACAGGCAACACCGATGATGGTCAGTTATGTTTTACAAACTGGATAGCTGATGTGAAAAACTCGAAACGTCAATCATCCATTGACAACGGACGGGTCGTGGATAGGTGAATTGAATGGCAGCCGAATGGTTCGTCGTCGTTGTTGTCGTCGTTGGAGTGGCGGGTGCCAAATTAACCAGTGTTTTTCTTCCCGATTGGATGGAGGAAAAATGGACTGATAAGAGCGAATTCGGGATGTAATGGGAATGGTCTAAAAAACATTAATTTAGTTTTTGTGGGAACGATTTCATTGAAAATTAAAATTACACTTAGGCCTATGCTGCGCGGCATGTGAAGTGAGGTGAAACGCTGTCACTTGTGAAGTGGCCTTTTTCACCTCGGAGTGTGAAGGGTGTGCGTTTAACTTGCTCATATTCTGACTGCGTCTGTGGAATAGTTCTAGGGACGTTTATAATTACTAAAGCCCTTCATCCATCAATGTATGATCTAGGTAAAGAAGTGTGCGTTTGGTTAGGGGCTGTTCATAAACTACGTAGAAAGTTTAGAGGGGGTTTGGCAATCATCCACGGCCCATAAGCTCCTAAATATTTAGAACAAAATAAGTCAATTAAATCAGCTGTCGCTCGAAATGGCAGCAACTTGCAAAATGAGTTCTAACTCTGTACTTTTTTTATTATTATTGACATTTTACATGCAAGCATGCATTCATGTCATATTGATTTATTAATTGTGATAATTCTTTTTCAATTCACTTATCTTGACATCTTGTAGACGGGTCTGCTTCACCTCATCCTTTGCTGAATCATCTCTGTATCTTCTTCACTTCTTCTGATATTTTGTTGCTTTTTGGTACTATTCTAAATTCACTTGATCTATTTTCTTCTTTCTTCTCTCCATACTTCTGTTTATTTTTTTCAATTCTTCATCATCTTCTTTCTTCATCCTTCTTTATTTCTATTGCCATTTTTTCCGCTCCTACGTTTTCACGCCTTATTAAATTTTCCTTCGGTGCCGCCTTCTGATTTTAGCAATTTTCCACTTTATCTTCCTGATCTTCTTCTTCGTTTTCCGTTCCGCCATCATCTGATGCTTTGCTATTTTTTGCTTTATCTTCTTGATCTTCTACCTCTTCTTCATCTTCTGCTTATTATTCTACTTCAATGCACAATTCACGTTGTTTCTTCTTAATCTTCCATCCGCTATCCGCTTTGTGTTCTTCATTACATGACCGTATCAATTTTCTCCAACTAAATTCACCTTTGTCCTGTTACATGTTACATTCTTCCTTCCTTCCTTGCTCCGTTAACTGCTTCACCATCTTGGCGCTACACCGGGCTTCGGCTGCTCCATCTTGTTCGTATTCTTTCTTCCTTCCTTGTTCCATTATCTGATTAATCTTCTTGCCGCTACACCGGGTTTCAGCTGTTCCTTCTTCGTTTCTCTGCATCCTTCAAATTTTTCGGTAAAGTCCAGTTTGGCGTAGAAGGTGGTTTGCTCCTCAAAGTTTCATTGGTTATTCCATCGTTGGCGTATTGTTTGCTTCACCATTCTTAGCGTATCTTCACCTGGGATTGGTAAACAAATAGGAGGTTCTGTTCTTGCCATGTTTGCTAACCGATCAGCTTCGTTGTTTCCGTGGATGCCGGCGTGTTTAGGTATCCAGTAGAAACGGACGGATTTGTTTCGTGCTATTTGCTCCACTTCCCGAATCCACGGGTGCTTAGATGTTCCCGCTTTTCTAAGGCCTGAAGACAGCTTGCAGAGTCCGTAAGAATGACTAATTCATACTCTGTACTGATACTTGATATTCTTGATGAGCGGAAGTCACTGTTATAAAAAATAGTCCCACCAACACGGAGCGCGTACAACAACAACAACAACAACAACAACAACAACAACAACAACAACAACAACAACAACAACAACAACAACAACAACAACAACAACAACAACAACAACAACAACAACAACAACAACAACAACAACAACAACAACAACAACAACAACAACAACAACAACAACAACAACAACAACAACAACAACAACAACAACAACAACAACAACAACAACAACAACAACAACAACAACAACAACAACAACAACAACAACAACAACAACAACAACAACAACAACAACAACAACAACAACAACAACAACAACAACAACAACAACAACAACAACAACAACAACAACAACAACAACAACAACAACAACAACAACAACAACAACAACAACAACAACAACAACAACAACAACAACAACAACAACAACAACAACAACAACAACAACAACAACAACAACAACAACAACAACAACAACAACAACAACAACAACAACAACAACAACAACAACAACAACAACAACAACAACAACAACAACAACAACAACAACAACAACAACAACAACAACAACAACAACAACAACAACAACAACAACAACAACAACAACAACAACAACAACAACAACAACAACAACAACAACAACAACAACAACAACAACAACAACAACAACAACAACAACAACAACAACAACAACAACAACAACAACAACAACAACAACAACAACAACAACAACAACAACAACAACAACAACAACAACAACAACAACAACAACAACAACAACAACAACAACAACAACAACAACAACAACAACAACAACAACAACAACAACAACAACAACAACAACAACAACAACAACAACAACAACAACAACAACAACAACAACAACAACAACAACAACAACAACAACAACAACAACAACAACAACAACAACAACAACAACAACAACAACAACAACAACAACAACAACAACAACAACAACAACAACAACAACAACAACAACAACAACAACAACAACAACAACAACAACAACAACAACAACAACAACAACAACAACAACAACAACAACAACAACAACAACAACAACAACAACAACAACAACAACAACAACAACAACAACAACAACAACAACAACAACAACAACAACAACAACAACAACAACAACAACAACAACAACAACAACAACAACAACAACAACAACAACAACAACAACAACAACAACAACAACAACAACAACAACAACAACAACAACAACAACAACAACAACAACAACAACAACAACAACAACAACAACAACAACAACAACAACAACAACAACAACAACAACAACAACAACAACAACAACAACAACAACAACAACAACAACAACAACAACAACAACAACAACAACAACAACAACAACAACAACAACAACAACAACAACAACAACAACAACAACAACAACAACAACAACAACAACAACAACAACAACAACAACAACAACAACAACAACAACAACAACAACAACAACAACAACAACAACGGAAATGGTTGTACGATCGCGCTGATTGGTCGTTATATGAACGTATCACCGCAGAAACCATCCTAGACAGCTTCACGGAGAAGATAATTGCAGCAGCAACTCGTGCCATACCGCAAACCAGCGGCCGTATGGGGCCTAAAGCGGTACCATGGTGGTGCCCTGAAGCGAAGGCGCCGATTCGACATCGATGAAAGTGTCTTCGATATCTGCGGTGGCTGCAGACATCTGATCCTGATCAACCCGCTGCATTGGCGAGGTTTCAGGAAACCAGAGCTGTAGCACGGAAGGCGATAAAGGAAGCAAAAGAACGATCGTGGGAGAACTTCGTGGCCAAAATTGCACCAAGCAGCACGACAACCGAACTGTGGCGAACGGTGAACACGCTACGTGGCAGCCGACAACAACGTACCGTCGCACTCAAGCGATCGGATGGCTTCACCGATGACCCCGAAGAAACTGCGGAAGCGCTAGCCAGTTTTTATAGCGATAGATCTGCGACCTCCAGTTACCCTACTTCTTTTCAGAAGACTAAGGCAGCAGCTGAAAGAGAGTCTATAGATGTTTCGCCAAACACGGACGACGTGTACAACAGCGACATTACCCTAAGCGAACTGCTGTGGGCTCTCAAGAAAGGGTGAGCTGCCTCGACAGGACCCGACATGATAGGGTACCCAATGCTTCGACGTCTACCTTTGTCCGTGAAGATGACACTGCTAGAGCTGCTCAACCGGATCTGGCGTAATGGAGAGTTTCCCACCAGCTGGCGAAATGCAATCGTGGTGCCCATTCCGAAGCCAAACTGCCTCGATACCGGACCCGCTGCGTTCCGTCCAATCTCGCTCACCAGCTGCATGGCGAAGCTGCTTGAACGCATAATAAATCGACGACTGATCACCGAGCTAGAGTCAAGCGAGCGACTCGACAAACGACAGCACGCTTTCCGTGCCGGGCGAGGCACCGACAAGTACTTTTCCGAGCTCGAGCGAACGCTTCCAAGCACAGACGAGCACTGTCTGATAGCATCCCTGGACCTGTCGAAGGCTTATGACACCACCTGGCGGCGCGGCATAATCCGCACTCTGAGGTCATGGAGAATACGTGGTCGGATGCTGAACATGATGAAAAGTTTCCTCTCGGAGCGAACGATCCAGGTATCCGTTGGGGGGCATATGTCTCGCCAGTATCCGTTGGAAAACGGAGTTCCGCAGGGCTCTGTCCTGTCAGTGACGCTGTTCCTTATCGCGATGCAGCCCATCTTCCGAGTAGTGCCCAACGGAGTCTTCATTCTTTTGTACGCGGACGATATCCTCTTAGCAGTGCGAGGTGCTAAAACTGAAGGCTTACACCGAAAATTACAGGCTGCCGTCAAAGCCATCAACAAATGGACGAAAAGCGTTGGTTTCACTGTGTCGGCAACAAAGTCACATGTCTTCTACTGCAGTCCGAACGCACGACGGAACTCCCGTGCCAAAGACCAACCGGCTGAGGATTTTAGGTGTAACCATGGACCGAACGTTATCCTTCAAACCTCACTGCAATATGGCTAAGAAAGCATGCGAATCTCGGTTACGGATTTTACAGATGATCGGTGCAAAACTTCCACGTGGTAATCG